AGGCTTTTAAAAGAACCCCCCCCCTTTTTTTTTTCTTTTAAATGCCTCTAACGATCAGGCAACTCAGCTTGGATCATCAGAGGCATTTAAAAGAAAAAAAGTCTCTACCAATCAGGCAACTCAGCTTGGATCATCAGAGCCTTTTAAAAGCATTTTTTTGCATGATTTAAAAAAATGGTTTTAAAAGTAATAAAAAAAATGGCCATGCCCACCCAGTCACATTACCCCACCACCACCAAGCCACACCCACAGAACTGGTAGTAACAAATTTTAGATTTCACCACTGCACATAACAGGTGATGAATTTAGAAACTAACTTCATTTTCTCCAACTGAAATGATAAATATAATAAAGACTTATATTCCTAGCAGTCAGTTAACTGATTGCCCTACACTTTTCTTTTTCTCCAAGTTGATCTTATCTGCCTGCCTTCATTCCTTCAACATTCCCTTTCTGGGAGATACAGGCCTGGGCAGAAATTTTCAAAACTAGGCAATGGAAGACGGTAGAGGTGGGAGAAATACTTAGATTGAATAGCCAAGAAGCAGTTACAGATAGAGACAAAGATCCCAGAGAGGAATGTGGGAGGCAAATTTAAAAAAACATAGCAACTAAAGTATTGAAGCGGGCAAGAGACGATGGATAGATGATTTTTTTGTTGTTGTTATTGCTCTGATTTGCCTTTCCTTTTCTTTCTCTCTCTCTCTCTTTTACTTTTCTTTTTTTTCTAGATAGGTGACACGACTATAAGTTAGGTAGAATAGAAAGAAAATGTTTTTCAGTAAAAGGCAACATAATTAAAAGTTAGAATAAGTGATAGAAATAAGAGAAGAGGGAACATTAGTGTAGACACTTTTATATAATAAAATAAAAGTAGTAATAAGAGAAAACATGGAATAATTGAATAATGACAGATTTCAACTCATTATATTGTGTATCATTATTAGAAGTATATAAGTTGATTGAATGTAATAACTATGATTAATTTTACTATTCTTATTTGTATTAGAATGTATGACACTCAGGTGCCACACAAATCACACATTGATTTGATATGTTTGGGAAAAAAAATAAAAAACTTATTTTAAAAAAATCCCTTTCCAATGGCTTCCCTGATATCAGCCATACTCCCTTTATCTTGCAACAGTTGTATGTGAATTAAGACTGATGTGTGTTAAGATTTAACTTCATTTAGGGGTATAACTACAGATTGTACAGCATTAGAGACTAAATTGATTTTAAATTAAATATCAGCAGCTAGGCTGTTGGTAGCGCAATACTGGAAGAAGGACTTTTTGCCTACTATTGAAGAGTGGACATTGAAAGTAGCAAACCTAGCGGAAATGGCGAAAATTTCAGCGTACTTGAAGGACTATACACAAGAAAGATATGTATTGGAATGGAGAAGATGGATTGATTATATTCAAAATAAGTATCAGACAAGAAACTATCAAATAGTTTATGAATGAATGTTAAATTTTAGAAGTATTATGTTATCCATAGTAGAGTTAAGGTTTCAGGGGGGGATTTGGTACTTTAAGGATAGATAGGTTAATTTAGCTTATGATTGTTCACTGAAATATCCTGTATTTTGCTCTGGGAAGTCTGGGGGGGAGGGTGGGATGGGGGGAAGGGGTGTGGGGGTGGTGGGGGGAGGGAAAAAGGGTAAGGGAAATATTGGGGATTTTTTTTTTTTGTAAAACTTTTCAATAATAAAAGATTTAACTTCATTTAGGAAGGAATTTCAATTCATTCCCTTTTTGCAGCGTGGAAAGATTCGGTGCTGCAGGACAGAGTTTCTCTATGTCTCTCCCACATATTTGCTGTTCCTCTTATGTCATCCTTTAAAAATCCCCACTGACATCCCACCTTCACTTCTGGCCCCACCTGAAACCCACAACCAGAGTTAGAAGTTTCTCTGGGAGAAAAATCATTTGGCTGCAAAACAGATGACAGACAGGAAATCGGCTCATCTTCTCAACATTTGATGGACTTTTCAGAAAAACGATCAAGGAATCAACTCTGCTTATGTTGGATATACAAGCTCTCAATGCCATTGAAAGTATTGGTTTTAACCTTGAAAGACTGCCTGAGTAGGTGGCTCAGTAACCTGACTAGGTGGCTGAGTGGCTAAGACACTGAGCTTGTCAATCAGAAAGGTCGGCAGTTCAATGGTTCGAATCCCTAGTACAGGTCTCCTGCGTGAGCAGGGGGTTGAACTAGATTACCTCTAAGGACCCTTCCAACTCTGTTACTGTTACCTGATTTGGAACAAAGGGATCAGAAGGACCAGTTTGCCCGAAGAGTTATGCTCAAAACTGAAGAGTTTGAAAGTGCAGAGGCCCTGTGTGACTCATGCTAACCTTGTGAAGGAGCTTGCTCCCAAAATTGGATCAGTTCCCATGTTCTATAAGATATTATGAGAGCAATCAACCGATGGAACAGAAGTTGCCTTCAGAAGTTGTGGGAGCCTCATCACTGGAAGTTTTCTCCTGCTTGAAGGTCCCCCTTCCAACTCTGTTAATCAGTTAATAATCCGTTCATAATTACAAATAGAATTATTCTGCAATGCATTTGGTATCTCAAGTATTGCTGTTAGCTTTATTGATTCAGTAAGTCTTCATATATTAACTGCCATTCTATGTGATGGCAGACCTCCATTTCCCATTGGTCCTGGGGATGGCCTGGCTTCGGGCCCACGATCCGCAGGAGGCATGGTCAAGAAACACCATCTCGTTCCCGAGCCTGCAGTGCATCGACCACCTCCGCCACACCTGTGCCGGCCAGGACATCTCCACCCCGGCCATTGCCTTGCCTCCTGAGCTGGCGCCCTTCGCCAACGTGTTCAGCGAAAAAGAGGCGGACCGACTACCCCCGCAACGACCCTACAACTGCCCGGTGGACCTGCTCCCCAATGCGCCACTGCCCGCGGGATGCCTATATTCCATGTCGGAGCCCAAGTTGGCTGCCCTACGGGACTTTCTGGACAAGAATCTGGCCCGAGGGTTCATCCGGCCTTCGTCCTCCCATCTCTTGGCCCCGGTCCTCTTTGTGAAGAAGAAGACGGGGGACTTATGCCTGTGCTGCGATTACCGGTGCTTGAATGCCATCACGGTGCGGAATTGCTACCCCCTGCCGCTCATCCCGGAGCTGATGGAGAGGTTGCGGGAGGCCTCGATCTTCACCAAGCTCGATCTCCAAGGGGCCTACAAATTGTTGAATGTTTCTTTGTAAATCGCCCTGAGTCCTTCGGGAGAAGGGCAGCATATAAATTACATAAATAAATAAATAAATAAGGGCTCCTGAGACTAGACCATATTTGGGCAAGTGAGACAGACCTTGCACTGTAACTCCACCCCCACCCCCCATCTCTTTGTGGGTCTGCAAGACTTTCTGGAGTATTATCAATAACTAAAGAAAATTGACCCTATGTTTGTCACCTATGATACGAAAGCTTGATACCTTTAATTTACAGGATGGAATTGAAATTATGGATACAAGATTTGGGGTACAAAAAATTATGGATACAAGATTTGGGGTACAAAAAATTAGGTGGCACTTGGTCACAGAAAAGATGTACAAAAATATAGAATCCTATATCTGTAAAGTTGGAAGGGACCACTAGGATCATCTTGTCCCTCCTGTCGACTCACAAAGCATCTTGCTGTCAGACTGTGGTACTGTCTCAAAATTAAATGAATCTCCAAACTGCCAATCTTTAAGGAAATCTTTCTTTAATTGAGCTCAGCCACCGGATCATGACTCCGCGTGGACAAGACTGACCTTTTGCCTCCCAATCCCTCCCTTTCCGACCCCCAAGTCTCTGCTTCTCATTGGCTGTCTTCCAAGTCATTCTTCAGACTTCTTTTCCCCGTCATTTCTCAGGAATGTGCCCCCCTCCCCTGATCTCCACAACAACCAAGCTTCAAAGGGATTTTGCAGGCAAAAGTTTCAGAGTTTATCTTTCGCTCTCCTCTGCTCTCTCTCTATGCCAGCGTTGCAACGCTGACACTTGAGTTGCCATAGGCCAGGTGGGATGGGAAACCAGTGAAATGGCACAGCAGCCAAAGACAGATGCACATTCCATGCTTATCTCTCTCAAGGCTGTATCCCAGAGTTACCTACAGCAGCCGGAGGGGAGTGACCTCTACAACCCACGAAATTGCTCCTTTGACGAATGTGATTGATGATACACCCTGGGGGGAGGGGGGAAACAGGGTCATAATTGGAGTGTAAGTTATGAAGGTTCAGAGCTGGCTTGCTGACTCACCAGTGAAGATGGCCCCTCCGGCACTTAGCTCATGCCAACTTGCTCCATCTCATCCTCCGAATCAGCATGGAAAGATAAATCAGCCTCCGGGGCCGGAGTTACAACACTGGTTAAAACCAGGAAGTAATGACACCCAGGCAGGTGGGTGGAGCTTTGCTTCACCATCACTACCGGATCACAGAACCACCCACCACGATCGCTACTGGGTCACCCGATCCAGTCCGAACCGGGAGCATTTCACCCCGATCTAGGGCAAAAAACATACTTAAACATACTTATCTTTTATTTTATGTACACTGAGAGCATATGCACCAAGACAAATTGCTTGTGTGTCCAATCATACTTGGCCAATAAAAAATTCTATTCTATTCTAAACACTGATAGTGAATCCAATTCAACACATTTTAACTTTAACCCTTTTGATTTAAATAAATGAAGTAGGAAACTGTTATTTTTCCAAGCTCGTTACTGTGGCCTCACTGAGGTCAAGAGGAGTAAGTGAAAAAGGGTGATTGTTGCTGATACTTTGTATTCAGTCACATAATTTAATTTCCAATTATTTCATAGAGAAGCTCCTCTCTCATTTCATCATTTTAAGAAATCAGATGAAATAATAATGCCCCCGAAGTCAGAATAAGTTCCCAATCCCTGCATAAATCAGAAGTGATTGTTCCTCATTATATTTTCTCTACAAGTTAGAGCAGGCGTAGACAGAATAATGTAGCATTAGTTAGAGATTTTTGTTCCTCATCATATTTTCTCTACAATTCAGATGGGGCCTCAGCAGAATAATGTAGCATTTGGGGAAAAAGATACAAGCCAAGAGACCAGACCCAGAGGCCAAGATGGAGAAGATCTCCACGGCCACCATGGACTTCCCTTTGGTGCTCAGGTAGGTGGGGAGGAAAGTGATCCAAACACTGCAAAAGACCAGCATGCTGAAAGTAATGAACTTGGCTTCATTAAAGCTGTCAGGCAATTTCCTAGCCAAAAAGGCCACAGTGAAACTGATGAAGGCAAGAACAGCCAGATAAGCAAGGACAGCATAAAACATTGAAACTGAGCCTTCATTACATTCCAAGATAATCTCTCCTACCAAGGAATGGAAGTCCAGATTGGGAAATGGGGGAGAAGTTACCAGCCAGGTGGCACAAAGAAGTGCTTGGACCAGGGGACACACTATGACAATGGAGTTGGTCAGTGGTTTTCCTAAGAGTTTCCTTGTCTTGTTTCCTGGCTTGGTGGCCATGAAGGCAAGAACCACCATGACAGTTTTTGCCAACACAGAAGACACCGCAAGGGAAAAGAGAATGGCAAAGGCTGTTTGTCGAAAGAGACAGGTGAGCTTCCTGGGTTTTCCAATGAAGAGGAAGGAGCAGAGGAAGCAGAGCAGGAGGGAGACCAGGAGGATGTAGGTGAGATCTCGGTTGTTGGCCTTGACGATTGGTGTGTCACGATGTTTAAGGAAAATTGCCAGAACTCCCAAGGTGATCATGGAAAGAGAAAGTGTGAGAGAACTTAAAGCATATCCCAGGGTGTCCTGATAGGAAAGAAAATGGATCTTCTTGGCAATGCAGTGGTCCTTGTCCTTGTTAGGATATTGATCTTCTGGGCAGGGGTCACAGCGAGCTGCATCTGAAATCAATATTAAGTGATAAAATGAAAGTTCTTAGTCTTTGTCTAAGGATTTCAGGGGCTTCTGCCACAAGCATTATTCCTCCCTCAAGGATACCGTGACTGTCCCACTGTGCATGTTGTGGACATCAAAGAGAGAAAATCCTTCTTCAGTGATGACGACCCTGGCAATAAATTAGCCAGAGACAAGGTTCTGTTCAGTTCCAGTTAGCCTGGTCAGTTTGCACTGGAAAGAAAGACCAGTCATTGGCAACTTCCCTGACTACTGAGGCTTTCAGTGTGAGAGAAATTGCCAAGTGTACTTTTCCTCACATGCCTCTGCATGGCAGTGGCAAGAGAGGAGAGCAATGTTGAGTGAAGGATGTGTTTCTTCTGCTTGTGCTCTAGGTCCGTGATTGCAACCTATGTCACACGTGCCCAAAATGACGCATGAAGCCATGTTGCCTGGCACGTGCGGCCTTGCCTGTTTGACTTCCGGGTTTCCAGCGTACATGCGTGTGTTACAATCAGCTGTCCTTCGCATGTATGGCAGTGCCAAAAACCTGTGAGCACATGTGCGCTAGCCAGCTGATTGTTGGGCACGCATGCATGCTAGGACCCAGATGTTTGGCTTTTCCAGAGCACGATCCCTTCACACATGTGGCAGTGGTGAAAACTGGCCTGCTCATGCGCGTCGGCCAGCTGATCATTGGGCGCACATGTGCACTGGAACCCGGAAGTTCGGCTTTTCTGGAGCATGGCCCTGACAAGCGTGCATGTGTGCACGAGCGATGTTTCCGCGCAACCTTTTCGCCATCACTGCTCTAGGTAGAGACATCTAGTTGTGTACCCTTAAAGATAACACAGTAGGAAGATGGCCAAGAGGGATATTCTGGATTCAGAGTAAACCTCAGCTGTCAGGTGTGTCTCTGTTCAAAACTCAAGAAAAACCTCAACTCCATGTTTGTAGAGAAAGGTACTTTTACTGAGCATGAACTGAATGCAACAAAAGGAAAGCAAGATCTGATGCAATAGGAGCGAAAATTACATATTGAAAATATTCCCAAATCCCTCCCCGCAAGGACCCAGGTTGAATATCCAATCCCTAGCCCCCCAAGGCATCATGTGAGGTGCATCTTCAGATGGTCCCATCCCTCTGGTATGCCAGAACGGTTGACTTTGATGGACTATCAGCAACTCCATTCAGCTGTGCCGAAGACGATGAGAAAATTCCCCCCTTTCATGAGACATCTCCACCAGCACACTTGCCCCTCCCAAATACCTATACACCCTCCCCCCCCCGTTACTATGGCAGCCAATGCAAGCAAGCAACATAGAGGCTGACATCAGCATTCAAAACTGTGTTTTAGTAGGTTGATTAAGCTCGATCAATGTCATTGTGGGTACTGTGAAAACCCCTGAAATGATCATAAGCTGTTTGTAACTTTCCCATCACTTCCCCTTATGGAAAACATGTTTATTTTTTTTTCTTAGCAGATAAACTTGGTAAGGAAGAAGATAGAGAAAAGTAATACAAGCTTTCTTACTGGTAGAGGTAAGATCCTTTGACTATAGAGTTAAATGTGATTGCTGGTTCATTCATTCAGAGATAGATTAACAGAGTTGGAAGGGACTTTGTGGGTCATCTAGTCCAACCCCCTGCCCAAGCAGGAGACCTTACACTATTTCTGACAGATGGCAGTTCAGTCTCTTCTTGAAAGCCTCCAGGGATGAAGCTCCCACAACTTCTGAAGGCAATTTCTGTTCCATCGGTTGATTGTTCTCACTGTCAGAAAATTGCTCCTTATTTCTAGATTGAATCTCTCCTTGGTCAGTTTCCATCCATTAGTCCTTGTCTGGCCTTCAGGTGCTTTGGAAAATAGGTTGACCCAAGTTCTTCATTGAGTTCTTCATTTAGGAAGAAATCTTCCAGGGTAGAATCCACTTAATCTTCCTTTATTTTTAGAGCTGCAAAATTGTCATAAATGCAGGTCTACATTAGGAAGATGGGCGCAACTGATTTGCTACCTCATGTTCTCTTTTTCTCCTAAACCTCCCCATTCCTGTTTGAGGATCTCCTTGAGCACAACTTGCCTGTTTGATTAGAAATGGTCCTCTCTGGGCAAGAAACACATCCATAGCAACAAGTGGGCTTCTCTTCTGCAACTTTCTTGGCTTGACCTGGAAGGCAATGCTTCACACAACGGGAGAAAGGCTTCGTCTGAAAGGAGAGTGAGATTAGCTTTGAGATGGAGAGCTTAGAAATGTTCACCTTGGCTTTGGGTCTGCATAAATGCAGCCCCTCTTCTTCCTTTCCCCAAATTCTGATAGGAGTTTTCATCACAACATCCTGTTCTATTCTCTCAGCTTTTCTTAACCCTGGAAGAAGTATTTAGTCCCCACCTGGTTAGTCCACACAATGACATCGGGATCAATGCCGAAATCTGTCCCTGAAGGAGTTTCCGGATCAACCCATCCGACTTTCTGCCGAAGGATGGTCTTATTTGCAAAGACGATCCAGTTTAGGATGTCAAATCCTGCATATTTCATTCCATTATCTGAAAAAAAGACTTCATCCCCAGCACTGTTGTTAAAGCGGATATTTCTCAAGAAAATATGGATCTGAAATTGCAAACCAAGCAAAGAATTAAAAAAAAAAAAAGGATTGAGATTTTGGAAAAAGTGAAAAGAAGAGCAACTAAGATTTATTTATTCATTTATTATTTGTATTTCTATGCCGCCCACTCTCCGAGGACTCTGGGCGGCTTACACCAAAGACAGTCTACTAAATAGCATATTGCCCCCCAACAATCTGGGTCCTCATTTTACCCACCTCGGAAGGATGGAAGGCTGAGTCAACCTTGAGCCAGTGAGATTTGATCCGCTGAACTAGCAGCCAGCTGAAGTAGCTGCAGTACTGCACTCTAACCACTGGGCCATCTCGGCTCTTATGAGATGAGAAGATGATTAAGGGCTTAAAGACAAAAATATATGAAGAACGGTTGCAGGAATTGGGTTTGGCCAGTCTAAAGAAAAGAAGGAGTAGGGGTGACATGATAGAAGTCTTTGTATTTGAGGGGCTGCTACAAAGAACAGGGGGATCAATTTATTTTCCAAAGCACCTGAAGGCAGGTCAAGAAACAAAGGGTGGAAACTAATCAAGGAGAGAAGCAACCTAGAACTAAGGAGAAATTTTCTGACAGTGAGAACAATTAACCAGTGGAACAGATTGCCTCCAGAAGTTGTGATGGGTGCTCCATCACTGGAGGCTTTTATGAAGAGACTGGACAGCCATTTATCTGAAATGGTATAGGATCTCCTGATTAAGCAGGGGGGCCGACTTGTTCCCCTTATGAAACTTCTGTTGACCAGAAATTTCTGTAACTTTCATGATATGAGAGTTAAATAATAGGGGATGAAAGTAGTTAGAGAAAAGGCAAGACGGAGGAGATCACAGGCAAAAGTTTATAAATCCTAAAACAGTGCAATGTGAATGTAGGCAAGAGAAGGAAGGATTCCTCAGCCAGAAGGTCAGATGTGAAGATGAGAATTACCTGCCAGGGCTTCACATAAAGTGGGTGTGGTTTATTTCTGTTCCTCTTCAATGCCCATTGTGATTCTGATGTATACGCAGCGTGTAATGCATGTGCCACAGAATAGGCAGCATTGTAGACGCTGTAGCTGAAACCGGTCATCTTTCCATCAAAGACGGAGGCCGGGAGGGTTTCCAGGTTCTCCTCCCCTGTGCAAACCCTTCGGCCATCAGGTGAGGACACACCTATTTTCAAAACCTGACAGTCAAATACAACTTCCCACCATTCGGGGAGAAAGACGTCTCCGTGGGGTTCATGTGGATTCAGAGCCCAGAGATAATCTTTGAATCCTGGCACTGGCTTCGTATGGACGGTCAAAGACAAAGCGCCATGGAGGGATTTTAGTTTCCCCCACTCGTAGTGATAGCCAAAAGCTGAAAATTCCCATTGGGTGGTCAGGATCCAGACCTTCTCAGTGGTAGCGTAGTTCTCTTCTTCATAAAAGGAGAGGGTCACTATAAGTCTGTGCAGTGCGTTAGAATCCCCCGAGACAATCACAACCTGAGCATCACTGTTCAAAATTGTCAAAAGCAAACGTATCTCGTCCCTGTGCAATTCATTGAACATTGTAAAACGGGGCACAATATGTTTCACAAATTGTACACAAATGTCATTGTGAGCGAGGGCGGCATCAAAAATCCGGATGAAATGGTCACTGCTCTCTGACTTCTGAACGACGATCCCAATCCAGTTCCACTGGAAATAGAGAAGGACCCGGACGATGGCTGCGTTCTGTAGGTGATACTGAGGATCGATCTGGTAGAAGGTGGGGAACCAAGTCTTATCCCTCAAAACAGGATCTGAGCAGCGGTAACCTAGCTGAAGGGAGGGTGCAGATGGAGGAAAAAGAAAAAATTAAGCATGGAAAATGGTGCCTGTGTTTTTTTGTTACTAACTTCAGACCGTCTAGATTAGCAGTATTTCCAATCTAGACCCAGGGGTGGGATTCTACCGGTTTGGACCAGTTCAGCGAACCGGGATCTCTGATGATCAGCTGGGAGTGAACCAATTCACTCCAACGATCAAGTTGCCCCACCCCCCTGACACTGGGCTTTACTTACTTTTATCTTCTCAGCTGATTGGTGCAGCAGAGCGGATTGCTGTGCCTCACGTGTGTTACTCCCAATTGGTAACACAGAATGTAAAACTGTGCACGCACATGCAGCACACAGTAGGCGCCCATGAATCACGTGATAACTGAACTGATTGTTAAACCGGCAGCATCCCATGACTATCTAGACCCCCTTCCCCCACAACCTCCCACCTTCATGAGATGTTTTCTATCGGTCACAGAATTGGGTCGGCGAGTTTTTGGCAGTAACCACACAAGGCAGAACTTATTTCCTTACATCTGCATTTCCCCCTGTCATCATGTTGTGGTCTTCCGGGTGTGATTCAAGGTGTTGGTCATCACCTTTAAAGCGCTCCATGGCATTGGACCTCGATACCTTCGAGACCGACTTCTGCCACCAGTAGCCTCCCACCAGCCAGTCCGCTCCCACAGAGAGGGTCTCCTCAGGGTGCCATTGGCCAAATTATGCCAGCTGGCGACACCCAGGGGGAGGGCCTTCTCTGTGGGAGCCCCTGCCCTTTGGAATGAACTGCCCCCAGAAATTCGTAAAATCTTTGATCTCCATATATTTCGCTGTGCCCTCAAAACCTTGTTGTTCCGCCAGGCTGGGCTATCAAGGTAAAGATTTTAATTGGGTTTTTAAAAATGGGATTTTAAATTTGGGGTTTTAAATTGAGCCTATCATTTAATAATTTTAATTATTTTTAAATTTTGTCTGTCTTTGTGCTTTTAATCAGGCTGTACACCGCCCTGAGTCCTTCGGGAGAAGGGCGGTATAGAAATAAAATTAATAAAATAAATAAATAAATAAATAAATGTTACGTGCCCAAGTACCTGAGAAATCTTGAAATTGCCAAACATGGTGGCCATCTGGTATGAGATCCTGGAGTTGAGGCCCCCAAGGACAGAGAGAAGATTGTGCTGTGTATCACACTTATAGTTAGGAAACACTTTTCCCCGGCTGGAGAGCAGAGACACGCTGACATCTTGGGCCATGATTGCATACTGGTTCTCTTCGTAGATGCGGAAGCCAAGAGTGATGTTGGGGAGAAGCCGTGGGTCTTTATTGATCTCCTGAATGGCAAATGCCAAAGCCAGAATGTGTTGGTAGTTCTTGGGAATAGGACTTTGTTGCAAGTGTTAGAGGACAAGAATTAGACAGGAGCAGGAGGGAGATGTACTGTTTATTTTGTTAAGAAAGCATTATCAGGATTCTAGGAGTTAATCATAGAACAGATCAATACAAATTAGTTGATTTGTGTTATCAGTTGAACCTGTTACTATTGTCAACAGTGTATGACAAAGCCTCTTCTCTCTCTTTCAGCTCCACCTTTAAGTGAATTCATTCACAAGTTATAATTTACAGCATGAGCTCAGCTCAGGTTGGTATTGACTTTTCCAAAAATGAACTTTTCAGTCCAGTTAAGGAAACCTGGCTTATTATTTGATAATTGAGTCTGTCATCTGCACCTCTATAACTGTCTGATTTGGCTCTGCAACCCAACAAGACAGATACAGACTTCAGAGGATAATTAGAACTGCAGAAAAAAAAAATGGCTACCAACCTGCCTTCCATTGAGGACCTGTATCCTGCATGAGTCAAAAACAGGGCTGTAAAAATATTTACAGACCCCTTGCATCCTGGACATAAACTGTTTCAACTCCTACCCTCAAAATGACACTATAGAGCACTGCACACCAGAACAACTAGACACAAGGACAGTTTTCCCCCCCGAACACCATCACTCTGCTAAACAAATAATTCTCTCAACACTGTCAAAACTATTTACTAAGTCTGCATTACTACTAATCTTCTCATCGTTCCTATCACCCATCTCCTCCCACTTATGACTGTATGACTGTAACCTTGTTGCTGGTATCCTTACGATTTATATTGATTGTTTCCTAATATGATTTGATTGCTTATTCGTTCCCTATGACTATCATTAAGTGTTGTACCTTAAGATTCTTGATGAACGTATCTTTTGTTTTATGTACCCTGAGAGTATATGCACCAAGACAAATTCCTTGTGTGTCCAATCACACTTGGCCAATAAAGAATTCTATTCTATTCTATAAGACCACACCTGGAATTACTGCATCCAATTTTAGTCACCACATTACAAAAAAGAGGTTGAGACTTTGGAAAAAGTGCAGAGAAGAGCAACTAAGATGATTAAAGAGAGTAAAACATAGGAAGAATGGTTGCAGGATTTGGGCTTGCCTAGTCTAGAGAAGAGAAGGTCTGGGGGTGATATGATAGCAGTATTCCAGTATTTGAGGGACTGCCACAAAGAAGAGGTGGTCAACTTGTTTTCCAAAGCACAAGAAACAATGGATGGAAACTAATCAAGGAGAGAAGCAACCTGGAATTAAGGAGAAACTTCCTAACAGTGAGGACAATTAACTAGTGGAATAGCTTGCCTTCAGAAGTTGTAGGGGCTTCATCACTGGAGGTTTTTAAGAAGAGACTGGACAGCCACTTGCCTCAAAGTGTATAGGGCTTGAACAGGGGGTTGGACTAGAGGATCTCCAAGGTCCCTTCCGGCTTTATTCTGATTGATTGATTTAGAAAACTGCACACTTTATTTTATCCAGTCATGGGAACCTTTACAGGCTGTCAACTTCTGTCTTACATACTCAAGCACTTTTTCCCCAACTTGGCACACCTCACCTCTCACATTACCAGAGTCCTTTTCAATTAGGTGGCTTTACGAATCCAGAAAAAAAAAAAGTGGGGGGGCTGGTTTAAATTGAATTGAATTGAATTGAATGCCTGAGAAGGTTGGCTTTTTCTGGCTAGAAATGAATAATGCATCTGGATGGCCCTCAGTTTGAAAGTGTCCTTTTAGTGTCTTGAAATACAGAAGTAGGGTGAGATTACTGAGCTAGCCTGTAGATTCTGAAAGAAATTAGCTCCATTGATAAATAACTTTATTGTCATTGTACGTGTATACATAGTATACCAATACAATGAAATTCACTTAACACCCACAGACCAGGTCCAACACACATAACAATCCCCAAACACACTCCCACCCACCACAATTCCCCACCCCTAAACCACCCAAACATCCACACAACAGACCAAGTAATGCTGTCCAACAGCTCACTGATGGTGGCCCTTTAGTTCATTGTTGAGTGCAATTATTATTATTATTATTTTAATTTGATTTATATGCCGCCCTTCTCCGGAGACTCAGGGCAGCTTACAATGCGTTAAGCAATAGCCTTCATACTTTTGTATATTTATACAAAGTCAGCTTATTGCCCACACAATCTGGGTCCTCATTTTACCTACCTTAGAAAGGATGGAAGGCTGAGTCAACCTTGAGCCTGGTGAGAATTGAACTCGCAGTAATTGCAGGCAGCTGGATGTTAAATGCTGCCTTAGGAGGCATTAGCCTCCTATGCCAATTATAGCTCTGGGATAAAAACTATTCAGAAAATAATAGGAGAGTAGTGAGAAGCTAGGCTTGGTGGGACAAAAGAAAGTCCTTTTCTACGTGAAATGCAGGATTACAAGCCATTAGAGTAATGAGATGGAAATGTGAATTTAGTTGAGCTATAAGATAGAGGACCCTAGCATTATTTCTCTCCAAGTTCAGCCCAAACTGTCTTCTCTGCAAAGTGTACAATAGTGGCCAAAATTGTGGAAACCTTTTGAGAAAAGTGTATTTTTTGAGGTTTGATAGATAATAACACCACTTTTTTTTGGGGGGGGGAGTTTCAAGATAATCCTATTCCACTGCTGGAATGGCCTGGGAATAGCCAAGACCTTCACCCAATTGAAAATCTATGACTAAAGAAACTTGTTAATCAGAAGTGACCCAGAAATAAAACCCGGTTTAATAGAAGCAATCCTTCAATCTTGGTTTCACATTAGAACAGCTGCAGAACTAAAAGACTTGGTTCACTCCACGGGAAGACGTTGTAATTCATGCTAAAGGTTACCCAACTAAGTATTAAGTATGACATGGGGATAATTTTTGCATTTCTCATTTTTTCTACGGTGATAATTTTTGTATATCTCGTTTTTTCCATGTGTTTCCCTTTTCTTCTTTATACTGTAAGTGCTATTCTAATAACAAATCCTTCCTAAAAGTTAGTGCATTGCATTCTTGATTAAATTATCTTTCCATTGATATATAATTTTATGGTACTACTCCAAAAAGAAAAGTGCTGTTATTAGCTAGTTTTAGAAAATACACTTTTCCCCAAAAGGTTTCCACAATTTATGGCCACTACTGTACGTTGACTTCAGGAACATGGTGAAAAGGCTGACTCCCTATTCAAGTGATAAGCTTTCCTTCACCGCTGAAGAGTCAGAGGGCTTGAGAAGGGAATTAGAGGGAGATTGATTCATCAAATAGAATCAATGGGTCTAATTCGGAAGGAACGTCAACTGAGGCTGGGTGGGATTTAAATCTTGAAGACTACCCTTTCCACATTGCCCTGAGAAAAAAGACAATCAAGAGAACACTTACAGAGAAAGGACATCCCAATCACCAGGAGGCTCGTATGGGAGCGGTAGAACTATAGTAATGGAGAGAGGTAGGTTTCCACCAATAATGAAATCTCCAGGTCTATAATAGTCTTTTTGTTCTTGGAAAGGTCTCCTCCAGAAGCAGTTTGGTCTCCGGTTCATCTGGACAGCTGCAGGCAGGGACCATAGCAACACTAAAAGCCAAATCATTGGCCACAGAAAGAGAACTTCTTCTTCTAGATCAAGCCAACAGAGAAAGTTGCAGGGAAAAGTGATGCTCTGGTGACTTCAGAGGACTCAAGTGAAGCTTTAAGTCTTCAGGATAAGCATCCATCTAAGCTGCAACTCTCAAGGGACTTATTCGGAGCATGTTAGGCAAACATGTTATAACCAGACACAGATCTCTTTATGCTTAGTGAGGATTAATCTTTGAAAATCCACTGAGATGAAGTAAGAATTACTAGTGTTTTATGAATCCCGGGAGAAAGAAATGTCCACATTATCCCCATAACTTTGGAGTTCATGGTATTTTGACAAGAGGAAAAAAAAATGTATTTCTGCAGCCACAATTGTGTGCCTCTGACTGTAAACTGGGCAACTGTAACTGGATTGTAATGCAGCTTTAGAGTTGAAAGAACTTGGGGATCACCCAGTTCGATCCCCTTAATGTAGGATCTCATTGGAGCAAACTCTTTTAAATCTCTTTGGGATTGGTTGCTTTTGCTACGACTACCAAACTCTTTGTCAACCCTGAAGCTAGCCCGACTGAGGCCATTTTGGAGGCTTCAGTGTTGCCACAATGGTGAAAGGGATAGGGAGGGGGGAATAGAGATAGCTGGGGGTTTGTAGCCAAAACAAAATAGTTTCCCCTGAGAACCAAGGACATTCCCACAGGTGGCTGAAGAGAGGAGGAGTGAAGTTCAATCAGTGGTGAAATCCAATATTTTTTACTACTGGTTCTGTGGGTGTGGTTTGGTGGGCATGGCAGGGGAAGAATACTGCAAAATCTCCATTCGCAGCCTACTCCAGGAGAAGGATACTGCAAAATTGCCATTCCCTCCCCACTCCTGGGGAAAGGATATTGCAAAATCACCATTTCCACCCCACTCTGGGGCTAGCCAGAGGTGATATTTGCAGTTCTCCGAACTGCTCAAAATTTCCACTACCGGTTCTCCAGAACCTGTCAGAACCTGCTAGATTTCACCCCTGAGTTCTTCCCTATCTTAACTGTCTCTCATTGGCCACCCCATGTAACCAATCAAGTTCAGGCAAGATGTTTTCATAACAGTCAGCTCCATCCTTTTTCTAATTCAGAAATGGTCCCTTCTGAACAGGGATCACATTGGTAGCAGCAAACCTGCTCGCCCTCTGGAACTCTTCTCCTCTCTCCTGCCTGGCACCTCTTCATGCCACACCTGGCAAAGGGCACCTTCTAAAAAAAGAAGAGAGAAAATCTTGAGATGACCTAAGCAATGAACATGCTCCATTTATTTATTTCCATGTTCCTGTTTCTATTTTCAGAAGAAATGGTTGACCATGGTCTACCAAAAGCTAGAAGCAGCTCCTGACTGATTTAGGACAGTGGCACTCCCGACCTACCAATGGACGCTGGAGATTGGAGCTGGGACTTCAGCAGTCAAAGGAAGGTTTGTGTGATTATGGTACAGCTTTTCTAAAACAGGTAATCAGGAGGATCCAACGGAACAAAAATGGTCCATGAAAATCACTGTTGCCTGGTCTAATTTCCCCTTGGGTTCCAATCAGACATGGGTTTCACATAGTTTTTAACCACCAGTTTACCCCGCATGCACATGCTCGTTTCATGCGCACGCACCTTCACATGCATGCACCTGGCCTCAAAAACATGGATAAATAGGATGGCATAGTGCCGGGGAGGAGGGCCCACCCACAGTCGCTGATCCACAGTCGCCGATCCACAGTCGATTCTCCCGAACCAGTGCAAACCAGCTGAATACCACCTCTGGGCCCAATCCTACCCTTTCTTGGAGCTGCCACGGCAGTCTTCAGATTTATTACATGCGAAGTAGGGTGTCAAGTTTCGAGGTCGTCTTTCCAGATGCCTCCGGTCCTCCTTCTTATGTCAGCACTAGAGTAAATGCAGCTTGAAGTGCTGACATAGGGGTTTTACCAAATCACTGCCTATTTTCTGATTGAATAGATTTTTTCAGTTGGAAGTCTACGTTTCCAAATGAATATTTCCCTGAAGTTACAACATTTGCTTCCAGCTCACCTTTGTGGCCTAGGTGATTGCTTTGGAGGTAATGGTGAAATCCTTTCCTGGAGGAGCCCCAGGATATATTCGGCCAATTTTTACAGGGACAAAAGTTTGATTGGGGCAGAGAATCCAGTTGATAAGATCATAGTGAGCTGATACCAGTCCATCCTCTGAGAAGGAGACTTCATCTCCAGCACTGTTCTTAAACTGGACCTTCCTCAAAAAGGGAAGAAGCTGAAACAAAAGAGAGAGAACTTGGATTGGATTTTGAAATTGGATTAATTTTCCAGTATCTTCCCAACTATTGATGTTAGACTGATTGGTCTGTAGTTTCCTGGGTTTTGGAATTGGATTAATTGACTGATAGCCACCAAGGTAGAATAGAATAGAGTAGAGTAGAGTAGAGTAGAGTAGAGTAGAGTAGAGTAGAGTAGAATAGAATAGAATAGAATAGAATAGAATAGAATAGAATAGAATAGAATAGAATAGAATAGAATAGAATAGAATAGAATTCTTTATTGGCCAAGTGTGATTGGACATACAAGGAATTTATCTTAGGTGCATATGCTCTCAGTGTACATAAAAAGACAAGATACGTTCATCAAGAATCATAAGGTACAATACTTAATGATAGTCATAGGGTACAAATAAGAAATCAGGAAACAATATCAATATAAATCTTAAGGATACAAGCAACAAAGTTACAGTCATGCAGTCATATATGGGAGGAAATAGGTGATGGGAACGATGAGAAGACTAATAGTAATAGAAATACAACCTTAGTGAATAGCTTGACAGTGTTGAGGGAATTATTTGTTTAGCAGAGTGATGGTGTTTGAGAAAAAACTGTTCTTCTGTCTAGTTCTGGTGTGCAGTGCTCTATAGTGTCATTTTGAGGGTAGGAGCTGATACAATTTATATCCTTTGTCCTATTCTTTGAGGGCCATCATCTTAGGAGAGGAAAATACAAGAGGAGTTTCTTTGGTGGAGATCTGAGCAATCAGAAGTATGACCAAATATTTGACTCTTTTCCAAACACTATGGAAAACTTATGGAAAGCTTTCTATGGAATCGTTTGGTCTCTTGTGGAGAGCAGGGAGAGGCTGATTAAGGAAATCTCCCTCTCAATCTGGTGATTGTCATGGAAGTGGAAGCCAAGGGTGATGTTGGGGAGGAGAACCAGGTCTTTGTTGACCTCTCTGACTGCGAATGTCAAAGCCAGGAAAAGTTGGTAGTTCTTGGCTATGAGAGAAAGAGAAACCATCTGTTAACCATCTGGTAACCATCTCTGCTGGTCTACCTTACATAAAGGGAGAGACATGGGAGGTAGGAAAAGTGAGAGGCTCTTCCATAGGGGTTCCTCAACACACATGCAGCTTTTATCCATTTAGCAGTAAGCAGCTGACAGCAGAGCAGCCGCCTAGACTCCTGTGAGTCCCTTGGACTGCAAGGTGAATAAACTGGTCAGTCCTAGAGGAGATCAATCCTGACTGCTCTTTAGAAGGCCAGATCCTGTAGATGAAACTCAAATACTTTGGCCATCTGATGAGAAGGAGAAGAGCCTAATGCAGGGAATGATTGAGGGCAAAAGAAGAACGGGATGACAGAGAATGAGGTGGTTGGACAGAGTCACTGAAGCAGTAGGCATGAGTTTAAATGGATTCCAGAGCATGGTAGAGGACAGGGAGGCCTGGAGGAACATGGTCCATGGGGTCACAATGGGTTGGACATGACTTCGCAACTAACAACAACATGCATTCTCTTCCATGTGTTTGACTAAATTGCAAACCTAAGACAGCTTTGTTCAAAGGAGAGCCAATAACTGTGGCTAAGGGCAAGGAAATACAGGTAGGCTGGCTCCTTCGAACTGTCACTGCGCTTCGACACGAACCTTTCTGGAGAAAGAGAGGATGTGAGATTGCCCATGTTGACTTGCATACAGTTGCTCCTCATGAGAAGATGGCAGGGCAGTGGTCTCTGGAAGTGGGAGAACTGGGAGATGAACGAATTTGTCAGTCTGTTTCCAGCTACAGTGTAGAGGCTTTGTCATGTCCCCGTCAGAGTCTGAATCTGAGATGGAAGACAAACAGCTGACAGAGCGGGAGAGTGGCTCCGTTGGCTGTAGAGGAAACTGGGGAAGGGCAAAGTCAGGCTGGGCAGAGCAGGGGAGAGGAAGAACAAGGGAGAGGGGATTCAGATGAAGGCAAGGCCCACCCCCTCCTCATCCTAGGGTGTGCAGGGAAGAACGCAGAAGAGAGCAACATGGGTTGCGTGACTTACAAGGAAGGAAAGGGCCCTGATTCCCTTTACAAGGCACACCTGGGGATGGAGTTTAAAGGAGAGGCAGTTGGGAGGGAATGCCTGTTTGTTGGGAACAAATGCTGAATTCATCTAGTGTTGAGAGTGGGGCCTGCATTCATGGCATTCCTCCTGACTGTTATAGTTGTGCTTCTATGTGCTTATCTTGTCTTGCTGGAATTATTGCTGTGAATTCTTTGCTTTTGGGACTCATTATCTTGCCCTGCTGGAGTGATTGATTTGATTGATTGATTGATTTGCAGTCATTCTACTTACAGCGTTTGGACTGTCCAACTCCACTGCCAGCTCTGCAGGCTGCTGGTGGACAACAACAACCTCGTACCTCTTGCTAATAATGAAATGGTGCTATGAAAGTTTGTTTCCTTTTTCTTGTGAAGTATGTCTTCAGAATTGTCAATGGTATTCATGGGAAAGATATCATTATACATGGTAAACCTCTGGATTGGCTGAGGTAATATGAATGGGTGTACAATGTTATAGGGTGGTCTCCTTTTTCCAAAGTTGATCCCAGTTAGTTTGGTTGAAGGGGAGATACTTGAGACTAAACCCTGAATTTTAAGGACATTAGTGACGCCTTCTCAGTTCGAGGCCAGGTATCATCCTTATGCAATGGCCATACTCTTGGAAGTACAATCATGCATAGACCTGCTCACTGATGGAACACACATTTTGTGCCTTCCCAACCTGCTGAGCAAGAGGTTTGTGGCATGGAGAGCAACAGCTGGGGAATTTCCAAGATGCCTGGTGAGCTAGATGAGTGGCTGAGCTCAAGATGTGACCCCCTCTATGATTCAGAACCATAAAGCCTGGACTTGTCCTTATTTTAAAGAAGGAGACATTCTCTAAATGCAGAAGATCCAAGCTCCAACTTAGACTTTCAGGTAGGGCCACCAAAGATTCCAAAAGCCAGCAAAGCTATCACCAGAGTCTATGACAATTCACCATGGCTAACTTTCCATGGCCCTGGAATAACTCGTTGCAGGACAAGAGTTACACTAGCATCAAAGAAATGGTGGACTGGAATCATGAAAGAAAGGATGCAAAAGGAGGGACATAATGAAATGTTGATGATAAATATTAAAATAATTTATTTTAAATAATTAAATTGAATTGTTAAATTGTCCCGCAGTGAGTTGCCCCATGGTGAGTTGGCCGTGTCGAGTTGGTCGCAACAAATTGGCCAAAGCAAGTTGTCCCATTCCGAGGTCACCTATCGTGACCCAGGCCCAACTAGTTAAATGCAAACAGTTTGAAAACAAACAGGCTTTATTAGAACAGCTGAGAATTAACTCATTCTCAGTGTAGTCCAAACTAAATTAAAGCAAATTCTTCAAAACACCATTCCTCAATTTATTACCAACCTTGATGTAATTAGGCAAACTGCCAAAGGCTTTTCTTGGCAAAAGTTCAGAAGCAGAAGATGCCAACAAGAAATAAATACAGTGAAACAAGAAGTGAATTCTCTCAACGTTGTTTTCCAGCAAAGAGGCCAACAGCCATTGCTGGTCTTTTAAGCCTTATGGGAGGGGCCAATCATCTCTTGGCCCTACTCCTCTCTGCTTTAGCTGCTCCTGCCTTCTGGCAGCTCTTCTCATCCTCCTGTTCCTCTGCCTCTCTAGTGTCAACCTCTGGAGGCTCCGAAGTCCGCACATCACCAAGTCAGTATAGTATAGACCCCAACAGATATATAATATACATTAATAAGAAAGAAAATAAGAAAAAAAAAGTATTGGAATGATTTAAGAACAGTGTCAGACCCAACCCTCACTGTATTAGCAGTTGATCTTTATTTATTTATTTATTTATTAGTCATATTTCTATGCCACCCACTCTCCGAGGACTCTGGGCGGCTTACACCAAAGACAGTATACTAAATAGCATATTGGCCCCAACAATCTGGGTCCTCATTTTACCCACCTCGGAAGGATGGAAGGCTGAGTCAACCTTGAGCCGGTGAGATTTGATCCGCTGACCTGCTGAACTAGCAGTCAGCTGAAGTAGCTGCAGTACTGCACTCTAACCACTGCACCACCTCGGCTTCTCATCTTGAGCATGATCTCTTCTTCTGGCACTTCTTCAAATGTCTGTAGAGATTCTCAATCATCCAAGTCATGGTTGTCTCAAATGTGCTTTTTTTTTTCAGGAGGCAACTGGACTTTCTTGTTGTTGTTGTTTTTTTTGAAGATGTTTCACTTCTCATCCAAGAAGATTCTTCAGCTCTGACATTCCCCACTATCCTGTCAGAGGTGAAGAAGCTTCTTGGATGAGAAGTGAAATGTCTTTAAAGAAAAAAACAAACAAACAAGAAAGTCCAGTTGCCTCCTGAAAAAAAAAAATCTTCAAATCTTTTTCCATTAACAAACTTGTCTTGGGAAAGTCATCACCATGTAAGAGAGGAATTCCCTGCAAGGCTCTTATTCTTCCTTGGGTATGGTTGAGAGCACAGGAAAAATATTCAGAGCGTCATATGTTTGATACATACAGGCTGTCCTGTACGGCAAGAATAAAAGGATACCACTGATGGAAAGACTCTATTCCTGTGACCCAGGAGAGGTGGATATCATTGGTCACACACTCCTTCAATGTTCCTTTTACAGAGAGATTTGAAAAAAAAAATCCTTCCAATAATTGCTAGGTATCCTGGCCTTTCTGACACTCCAGCCATCTCCAGTGGCTGCTTAAGGATGAACAGTCCATAACTGGGTACCTACGAGACCACCTTCTGCAACCTATAACCTCCCACCAACCAGTAGGCTCCCACAGAGTGGGCCTCCTCAGGGTACCATCACTAAAGCAATGTCGACTGGGGGTTCCCAGGGGGAGAGCCTTCTCTGTGGGGGCACCTACCCTTTGGAACAGGATACCCCAGGGATAAAAATAATCCCAGATCTTCGTACTTTCCGTCAGGCACTTAAGACCTTCCCCTTTCACCAAGCCGGGCTGGCATAATTAATTTTTTTCTTTCCTTTTCCTAATTGTGTAAATTTTATTCTGAAGATCTTAACTTAACTGATAAGCCAAATTGACTTAATTATTATTTATTGCTTCTATTCACATTTTTATATATATGTTTATTTTGACTGTTCACCGCCCTGAGTCCTTCGGGAGAAAGGCGGTATAAAAAATAAAATAAATAAATAAAAATAAATAAATAAATAAATAAATAAATAAATAAATAAATAATAAATAAATAAATAAATAAATAATAAATAAATAAATAACTACAGAGCAGGTGGCTAAATTCTGTGCCACAGCACTGGGGATTCATTGGAAACATGTGTCTAATCCAACATAGCTAACGTATTTTATACAGCAAATGTGGCAAACCCTTTGCACTGCTTATTCCATTCCCTTTTAGTATTAAACTGAGTACGGGCCTCATAGGTTATGGATTGTAATTTTACTATAGTTAGACCATGTGTAATTGACAGACTGGATTTCATCATAGATTTTATCTGTTATTTATTATTTTATTCTAGAATTTTTAATTGGATATTCAGCTAGTGTTTTTACTTGTTCTGGTTTCTGGGCTATCACTGTAATAATCTGAAATTAATTACCCCTGACCTAGAAGATGAAATGGAAATGAGGAGTTACTAGGTTGGGATGCAAACATCTGGATGACCACTTGGTGGTATCAAAGAGGTATGGAAAACAGAATTAAAGCACTTAATAAAATTTGCACTCTAAAAAAATAAAAATCGCTAACAGGATCAGTTAGTTGATCACTAAAATGAACTTTGTGATTAGCCAAATCATGTTTTCCAGTTAATAGACAAAATCTCCTCTCATTTCAGAATGTTTTAGAAATCAGATCAAATCAAAAATCAAATCAAATTAAAATCGAACTTTTGAATGCCAGCATAAATTAAAGATGTGTGTGTCTCATTATATTTTCTCTACAATTCAGATTAGGCCTCAATAGGATGATGAAACATTTGGGAAGAAAGATACAAGCCAAGAGACCAGTCCTTGAGGTCAAAATGGAGAAGATCTTCACAGCCACCATGGACTTCCCTTTGGTGCTCAGGTAGGTGGGGAGGAAGGAGATCTAAACACTGCAAAAGACCAGCATGCTAAAAGTAATGAACTTGGCTTCATGAATACTCACTATTATGACCAGTTATAGCACTTGAGTAAGGCATTATTAAATGGATCTGTTTCTTCTTCTCTGTCATGTTTTAGAAATATCATCAGATACTAAACATGCCTCAAAGATAAATATGTTTCCCATCCGTGCATGAATCAGAGATTTTTATTTCTTATCATATTTTCTCTACAGTTCAGATCCGGCCTCAGAAGAATAATGTAGCATTTGGGGAAAAAGATACAGGCCAAGAGACCAGCCCCAGAGGCCAAGATGGAGAAGATTTCCACGGCCACCATGGACTTCCCTTTGGTGCTCAGGTAGGTGGGGAGGAAGGAGATCCAAACACTGCAAAAGACCAGCATGCTGAAAGTAATGAACTTGGCTTCATTAAAGCTGTCGGGCAATTTCCTAGCCAAAAAGGCCATGATAAAACTCACGAGGGCCAGAAAACCCAGGTAGGCCAGGACAGTGTAAAACATGGAAGCTGAGCCTTCATTACATTCCAAGATTGTCTCTCCTAACAAGGAGTGGAAATCCAAGTTAGGAAATGGGGGAGAAGTTATCAGCCAAGTAGCACAAAGAACCGCTTGGACAAGAGGGCAGGATACAACAATGCAATTGGTCAGTGATTTTCCTAAGATTTTCTTTGTCTTGTTCCCTGGTTTGGTGGCCATGAAGGCCAGAACCACCATGACAGTTTTTGCCAAGACAGAGGAAACTGCAAGAGAAAAGAGAATGGCAAAGGCAGTTTGTCGGAAGAGACAGGTGAGCTTCCTCGGTTGACCAATGAAAAGGAAGGAGCAGAGGAAGCAGAGCAGGAGGGAGACCAGGAGGAGGTAGGTGAGATCTCGATTGTTGGCCTTGACGATCGGTGTGTCACGATGCTTATGGAAAATTGCTAGGACTGCCAATGTGATCAAAGAGAGAGAAAGAGTAAGAGATGCTAAAGTGTATCCCAGGATATCTTCATAGGAAAGGAAGTGGATCTTCTTGGCAATGCAGTGGTCCTTGTCCTTGTTGGGATATTGGTCTTCTGGACAAAGGTCACATTGAGCTGCATCTGAAAACAAGAATCTTTGTCTTAAGTATTTCAGAGGCACCCACAGTTAGCATTATCTCCAATCCAGCCTATGATCTCATGTGTGACTCTTTTCTGTTAGGTCCAATTCAAGAAGAATGTAAAGAATAGACAATTTATGATGCCTTTAATGGCAAATTGTCCTTGATTCCAGATGCCTGAGAATTAAATGCTTGGGGATTAGAATTCCTTCTCCTGTCACTGGGCATTTTCATTATTATTTTGGCTTTCTTTGTGAGTGAAGAATTGGCACTTCATTT